TTATGTTATATATTTTACTATAATAAAAAATAATTAAAAGATACTACTGTCTCATAGGAAAAGGAATAAAGAATTTTTCACTGCATACCCATTGTAAAAACTTTGTAATTTAACTTAACATTTTTGAAAATTTGTGTATCTGTCTTAGGAAGTTTGAGACCAAAATGCCCTTTGTTATGGACTGAATTCTGCCCCCCATCCCAAATTCATTTGTTTAAGCCCTAATACGCAATGTTCTGTATTTAGAGGTCTCATAGGAAAAGGAATAAAGAATTTTTCACTGCATACCCATTGTAAAAACTTTGTAATTTAACTTAACATTTTTGAAAATTTGTGTATCTGTCTTAGGAAGTTTGAGACCAAAATGCCCTTTGTTATGGACTGAATTCTGCCCCCCATCCCAAATTCATTTGTTTAAGCCCTAATACGCAATGTTCTGTATTTAGAGATAGGGCCTTTAAGGAGCTAATTAGGGTTTAATAAAGTCACAAAGATGGAAGCTTGATTCACTATGGCTGGTTTCCTTAAAAGAAGAGAGGCATATCAGGGATGATCAAAACACAGAGAAAAGGCCATGTGAGGACACAATGAAAAGGTGGTCATCTATGAGCCAAAGAGAGAGGCCTTGGAGAAACCCACCCTTCTGACACCTTGATCTTGGATTTCCAGTCTCCAGAACTGCAAGAAATAAATTTCTCTTGTTTACATCGCCCAGTCTGTGATATTTTCTTTTGCCAGTCCTAGCAAATTAAGATATTCCCAATCTCATTCTCATCTCTAGCGCACATGCACATACATACACACAAACAATTTTAATACAAAGGAAGGGTAAAATGAACATAAAATGAATAAGTAGGCTTGATACATCACTTCCTATTAATAAGCGAGGTACTCTAATAGATATTTTACAAAGTATTACAAAGGCATATTCTAGTTGTAGAGGCAAGGAAAAGATAAGATTTAATTCTTTCTCATTGGCTTACTTATGTGATACTGAAAAGATGCTGGGGCATTTGGCAAAAAAAGAGTCCTTACAATTACTTTTTGTTTTATTTGGAACTCTTTCTTCTCTATGTACTTGCTGCTTCTGCTTCTGTTTTTAACTCTTGTGATGTGTAATAATATAAAGCCATGCCTAGGAAGAGCCTGAGATATTTCTTGTTGGCAATAACAATATATTTTGACTACTTGGCTATTCAAATTAGGTAACAGTGCCTTCACCATGAAAAATATTAAGTAAAATAGAGCACCAAAAGAGTTTTAACTAAAATAAAAAGTTCCTAAAAGGAATTTATAACTGATGAGTGATTGTCAGAGAAGAATCTCAATAAACTTGGAGTCAGTCAGCCTGACTTTATATCCCAATTCTGCCACTCTGTAGCTTACTGTGTTCCAGCAAGGGATTTAACCCTTTAAATTCTGGGATTCTTCTATGATATGTAGGTAATAAAATGTAGGAGATGAATTATGTAAACTGTTTGGCACTTAATAACTGTCAGTTCTATTTATTCAGGCCTATTTTATATTAGCTGCTGCTTCTCTGTCTCCCTTGCTCAGTTGTCATTGCTACAACAGTCTTTGGGCCTCAGCAGGCACTTTTATTAGGCAATCTTGAGAACAGCTCTAATGGATAAACCACTACATGATTCCTTTGAGCCTGAGACAGGATTAACTGCTCTTTCTTCTCCTTACTGACTACATCTCTAGCTCTCTTAGAACAACTAAATTCATTCACATGTTCATTGAATAAACATTTTCAGAGAACCCTCCATATGTCAGGCACTGCATTAGGTCATAGATAATGGTTATTGCCCTCATGGAATTTCTAACCTGGAAGGGGAAAGAAATAAAAAAGGTAAATACTTTGTTGTGGAGTTTTCATATGTGCTCTGGGATAATGATAAAATGTTCAAAATCACGAATAACCACTTCTTTTTTTAAAGAAAATATGTAAGATCATGTACATATGTAGGATATTACAGGGGCAAAGGGCTAGAAAGAAGAGGGCATTTCTGTGCACAGGAGCTTAAACTCCTTGTAATCTCCAAGGAGCCACATGCTCTCACTTCCAAAAATATACATGATTTAAGCTTATTGTTCAGTGTAGTTTTGTAGTTGTTTCTTAAATGTTGTGCCTATGAAATACAATGGGAGACTGAAAGGTGAACTAACACCTACTTCTTTGAGAGCAGACAATGTTCCAGAATGCTTTAATCAATGTTCATTGAGTACCTTAAGTCAAAGAATGATAAACTCCCATCCACTAGACATAAGTTTATCTTTATGATATTCATGAAAGAAAGAACTTGATAAGAAAGTAAACAGTAAACATAAAAGAAAATGTTTTCAAACACTATGGAAGTTTTACCTATGCAAATCAGAGGTACCCACCAAACCCTGGTCTCTGCTGTTGCAGGAAGCGACATCCAATGGAGGAATTGGACACTCAGACAACTTTGTTAGAGAAAGGAGAATTTAATGCCAGCGGAGAGCGTGGGGCTTTCAACAGACCCAAAGCATGATTTCCCCTTAATTAGATTTCTTACAGTTTATATACCCTTGCAGTGTCCATTCAAGGGGCACGTGATTCCTTTGTCTGAGGTTTCACATGTGCTTCATGACTCACCATGGGAGGGGGAGCTTTGGGTCAGGGTTTGAAAGCGGGGAGGAATTTCCAGGCCAGTGGTCTTACAGGTCGTTTGTTTTGCAACCTTGGCGTTATCAGCACTGTTATAGGATTCTCGAACAGAGAGATGGGACATTGAGGCTCTAAGTAGGAAGCAACACTTATTAATGCCAGCACCTGCTCAGCGGATTCCTATCCAAAGGGTGAGCCCCGACTATAACATAACAAGCAGTTTTATAGTCTTGTTATTCCTACACAACTACAGAGATAAGGAAGGACATTAGTTGATTGGACAACCATGAATCAACAGATGTGAGCTGGAGAGTCCTGGAAGAGGGAGAGAGGGCAGTTAGGAATGGGCTTTAACTGGCTGAGTTGGTCATTTCTGCAAGCCCTCCTCTCCTCTCTCAGTGCTATCCTAAGGATGAAAATTATTTGTTTATTAAAGTAGGAAATTTGAGTCACTTCCTTATTATTCTAGAAAAATTGAATTTTAGAATTTTTAAGCTAGAAGTTACCTTCAAGAACTGGTTCAACTTCTTTTTTTTAAAGATGAGGAAACAGCAGAGGGGAGAGTTTCAGGTGATTTGCTGACTCTAGTCAATAATATTCACAGCATTACTTTTAACCAAAACATTAATTATTTAAATCACTTCCTGATTCAGGTAGACTTCCCCTCTAATTAGTTTTAATTAATGGTTCTTTCTTTATGAGTACCACCTTTTCAATGAAGTAACATTGCTAGAAATAAAGCAAACAACCTACCACACCAGTGTTTGGAAGCAAAGTTCCTGTTCAAGTCTGTTCCAATACAAGGATTGTTTTCATGAAAAGAACGGTTCTTTCTCCACATTCGATTCTAAATAAACAAAACACAGATAACCATGGTGGCTATGTTTGTGGTTCAAGGAAAGACAGAACTTTTAAAACCTAAGTAACCAGGGTTGTGTTTCTCTTAGTCAACCCCATCACTTCTTCCTGTCACTGTCTTCACAGTATTCCTTTACACAGCTCCTGTTTCTAGCTAGGTCTCAATCACATTCACTCTATTTCAGTTGGAATAATAAAAAAAAATCACAATATTTGATTAATTTTGATGTAGACAAATTTTCACTTGGTTTTGCTAGACTGCATATTGGCCTTCTTGTTTAGTCTTGTTTCCCTTAATTTTATGCATCATCATTTTGAGTTCTTTCTAAGAAAAGTAAAATAACTTTGTGTTTCAACTCAAATTAAAACTGAGTTAGGAGTTTCTTTTTTTAATTGAAATATATTTGACATCTAATATTTCATAAATTTAAGGTGTACAACATGTTGATTTGATACATTTATATATTGTAATAGGATAGCCATTGTAGCAACAGTAAAAACCTCTATCAGATCACATAATTATCATTTCATTTTTATGGTGGGCATAATTAAGATTTAGTATCTTAGCACATTTGATGATTATAATACAGTATTGTTGAGTAATGAGTTTCAATGATCTCTTTAGACTGAATTCAACTCTAAAAGCTACAGGAGACAGAAAGAGGAAAACATCTCTAGCCTGATGGCTCCTTTGATTGTACTGATTCGATTCTGGTTTGGAGACATAAAGCAAATTCCCCACTGGATTCTTGGGGCAAACTAGGAAATTTTATCATGTAAACAGTTGCATAGACTTTAAGTTCTAAGTTTGGGGTGATATGGCACTCTTTTCCCCTACTCTCACCAGCCCTTCTGCCAAGCCTCCCTGTCTGCTTCCACCCCCTGGCTTGTGGTTTGGTGGGTAGTAACAATTGCCCTGGAGAAATTAGGTTCTCAAACTGCAGGGACAATTGACAGAGTTAAAACAGAAAGGCCAGCTGGAAAGTAAGAACATCTAAAGGATAACTGATTTCCGCTATGATTCAGGTGAAGGCATAAACTTATTATAGTATCGATCTACAAATGTGACCATTTATTGAACACTAAATTTGTGTTATGTATATGGTAGGTATTTCTCATTAGTTCAAGATTTGCCCTCCCCCACCTGTAAACGCTTATCCACAGTATTCCTCTCACCTGAGATGACTTTTTTTAAAAATCAATCTCTGTCACTCCTGTCTTTTCTGCATAAATTGCCTCCTATGTGAAACAATTTCTGTATAATCCCAAATATTTCTAATCACTGCAATTATTCTCATTCTCCTTAGTGTTTACATGTGCTATTCAAGTAGGTTTTTCTGAACTTATATATACTTAGTTGCCTTTTTATATCCCCCTCATTAAATTAAAAAAAGATTGTACTTCATATTGTTTGAGTAATTTTACATGAATCATGATGGGCTAGAGAAAACATTTATAATGGTTTGTGATGTAGATGAGATTGACCAGGATACTTATATTTATATTGATTGATTTAAAAGGTACTAAGGTTTAAATTCACATATCGGCTAGAATAAAAGCTCAGTTAGAAAGCTGTTTTAGGTCTTTCAATTTATGATTTTACAAATCAAAATGCTATTCAAAGGATTCCTAGTAAGAATAAATGGATATAGGCATTACACATCAATGGTAGCAAATATCTTGAAAAGAGTCACAATCAGACATTATACACATCTTGATGGGAGGACACACTTGCACAATGAAGTAGTCTTGCCAAAAAAAAGTCAATCCTGAATCTAATTAAGCCTCTAGATCCAAATATCAAGTTTTAGAAAATTAAGAGGACAGTAGAATCTTTTAAACTGCAACGTGGCAAAATTCAAATAGCAAATCCAGACAATGGGAAACACTTCATTCAGTTCAATGAATAAACTGCAAGGAAGAATGAGAGTAAAAGAGTAAGCGTGAGAGCATCTATGGATTAAAATAGAATTAAATGACATGTAAATCAATCATAACATACTAACCTTCTTTGGATCCTGAATCACAGAAAGAAACTTATTAAAAAGTTATGATATCACTGGAAATTTAAATAGTGATTGGACATTTTATATTAATTATTGTTAATTAATTTATATATGTAATTGTACTGTGGTTGTTTTTTAAGAATTCGTAGAGATGCATAGCAAAATATTTATTGATAAAATAATATAATATCTGAGATGTGTTTCAAAATAATATGGATAAGGTAAAAGTAGGTGGGGCATGTAGATGAAAAAAGATTGGCTATGAATTGATTATTTTTGAAGCTGTCTGACAGGTACATAGGAGTTAAAATTATTTCCACACATATATGTTTGAACTTTTCCATAATGATAATTAAACATTTTTTTATAATAAAACCATTGTGCCAAGATCCAGGATTCTATGAATAATTCAGCCTGTGTATCCTGTATCCTTAAAGGGAGCATATTTTGTTTTATTTGGCTTCACTTACCTTTTTCCATGTATAGTCATAACCATCCACATTAACTACCGGCATGACATAGAAATCCAAGTGCCTCAGAAGATTGGTATATAGACTTTCTTCCTCATGGTATTGAGTTACCTACAAATTAAACCAAGTATGTTTAATAATATCTCTTTTAAGTTCTTCTAAACTTTATCTGTTTCTTTGTGTGTTTTTATTTTTTTTTAAATTTCGCTAAAAAATATTTAACTTTCAGGAAGCATATCAGTTCCTGGAAAGAATGAATTTAGGGTACTAAACTGCCAAGTGCTGGTAAATGCCTTGGATACAGGACAAATGGTTTTCCTGTTTAATGGAGGCACCAAACAGAACCAAATGTTTTCTAAAATTTCCTCTAAGAAACAAAAATAATTATTTGTTAAATCCATAAAGCCTACCACAAATATTTAAGGAAATAAAAATCTAGACATAGTTCCACTTCTTTTTCAATAATCCATATCAACCAGAGCTTAAACTAACCTTGTCATATGCCCAGATAGAACTAATGATATTTTCTGTGTTGTCTTTATAACTTATGGAGCTAAATTTTTGCAGCAATAAAGTGTGTTTTCCAAGCATCAGATTATTCAGCTTTAAAATCAGCCATAGCTTTTCCTAGGTACTGGCTATGAGTTTCCCAGTAGGCATCATCTGACACTGGTCTTCTCTGCTTTAGACTCACACCTTCATTAGGGTCACATATTTCAACATGATCCAATGATGTCCTCATTTCAATGACTGAAAAGTTTACCCCAGAGTAACCAAACATAGAGGCAGGAGAAACACAAAGACAAATTTCAGCTGGTTAAACCTTTATCTAGGACTGAGATTTGGTATAAAACCTTCACTTGTGGCAACTTTGCTACCTTTTAATTTGTGGATTAGTTTACAATTATTTGTTGCTTCAAACTTTATTTGAAAAACTTTAAGAAATGGTTTTATTATCAACAAAAGAAAAATGTTTTTTAAATCCTACCTTAGCTATAGCAAAATGTTTACCATTTTCTCTTCTAATATTTAAAATATTACATTTATATTTCCCTAAAATAATTATGTCATATTAAAATTCTTTGCAATGGATAACACTTATGAAGAATAGGAGAAAAAAAAGCAAAAGTATAAGTTATTTTTTAACCTACTACGGGTCAGAAATGAAAGCTGAATGAGAAGGAAGAAAATTTTATAGGATAAAAGAAGCTATTTTAAATAGCTGAGCAACTAGTTAAATATGCTTTTATTCTACAAATTTGTAAATTTATGTCGGAGTCATGTTTCAGTAATAACATAGCATTCATTGTCAGAAGAAAAGATTATAAGATCTTATTTATTTCAAAATATAAAGCATTTATCATTTTTATTTCTGCAATGTGTGCTGAACTTTTAATAGATATGGCATGGTGAATTTCTTCATCTACTTCACTCTCTTTACTTCCTTACTACCTTTATCAATGGTTGATGAAAATCTTTCAGCAGAAAGTTAGGCTTTAAGAGACGATCAATATTAGCTGTGGAATTTCTTGTATAATAGTAGGGCTCCAAATAGGTGGGGTGAGTGAGGGCTGAAATATAACCTTCATAAAAAGAAGGATAGAGAGGAAACTCTGCAATAAGGGTACTTCTCAATGTCTGTAAGTGGAGAAGTAGACCCCGATGAAAGGGTGACCTGAATGTATCAGCTAGATAATATAGTATCCTTAGGCCTTTAAATATTTTTCTGATTGGCTAAAGGTAAGATTGAGTTATACTTGGAACTATGGCAGGCCTGTGTTCCTTTCCAGGCATTGTGAGTACTACAGCAAGGTTATATAGATGCAGAGAAATCCAAGAAATGTTCTTAATCAACTTTGTGAAATATGTCGTTACTTATTAAAATCTCTTCAGGTTTGACATTTATCAAATAATCTATTCTTCAAAAGCATACAATCTAAATATCTAAACATGTAATTGAAGTAATTTAACCTCTAAAATTCTATAAGCCTACCTTATAATTCTGACTTAGTACTATCAACTGTGTTTAAAGACATTAATTCTTTTTCAAATAACATTTTCAGCCAAGTCAAACATGTTCATAAATCTAATAGTTCTTTACTATTAATTTGTGATCGATGTATCATGGGGCTCTCTAAGCATATCTTATCCAATGAGTTTTCATAGTATTCTGTAAATATATTTATATCTAGTGAATAAATTACTTTTAATAAGGTGAGTGGCTGAAGAAATTATGCCAGACACACAAAAGGTATACCACCAAATGATAATATAATTGAAATCATTGTCCTACTATAAGCAAATGAGAATAAAGATGAGGAAAGGGGGTGCCAGAGGAGAGCATAAAAGTAAGTGAATGATTAGGAGGTGGGAGATGAAGCCTTGACTGATTCCTATCAGGTAGGCCAGTGTCAAATGATTACTTAGTTCTTTTTGCCTGGGGTACACTAAAGCTTTGTCTTTAAAATGATTCTAAACAGCAACCAACAACAGTACCAATAACCATTTGATAGAGAATAAATATTATATGAAAGCATATAAAATGTATAAGAAGATTTTAAAATAAACTGTTACTCCTACTACCATTAGAAATATAGCAAAGAACTGTATGTCTCAGTTTTTCTCTAATTTCTATGTATGTATGGATAATTCTGACCTTATCCAATGGCAATAAGGTATTAGCCCAATGGTTTGTAATGTTTAGCTCCTACTCACTGGACCCCATAGTTGTATTTCAGCCTAAACCTGCAGTACTGATTTGAATTTCAAATGTAACAAAAAGATATTGACTGCCAATTATGTGGACTGAACAACACACTGGGTTATGGAGAAGCACTGCCCCCCCCCCAGCCCCACAAAAAGACTTTAGAGATTATCTTAGCCCTCGAAAAACTAATATAAGTGTTGTTAGAAAAGAAAAAAAAAACCATTCAATGTTATAAATATGATAATAAAATTGAGATATACAAAGTGGCTCAGGTTAATTCTGTGGGATGCTTGGGATTGGAATTGCTGGAGGGTGATCATAGGGGCAAGAAATTCAGGATACAGGTGAGTGGGTGATTTGTGATGAGACTCAGGCTTGTTAGTGAAAAAAAGAGATTCCTGGAAAGGAGCTGATAAATTAGAAGAAAGTAGATATATCCAAGAGCTGGAAATCTACTAAAGAAAAAAATGAAAAAATGCATAGCAGGTGTGAAGAATGAGAGAAATGGAAGGAGAGGAAATTAAGAAGTCAGACTGTTAAGTGGCCCCTCCTAGCCTTCCCTGTCCATGGTCACATTCTAGATCTAATGATCAGGAAGAGAATTATTTCTGAGATCCAGAGGATGGACATGGGAGAAATTTACTAAAACAGAGTTGAGGTTAGGTTTGGTAATGTAGAGTTCAAGGAGCTGAGAAGATGATTAATCAAATGGGTCTCACATATGGACTTTGGATTCACTCAGAATGAATGCAAGAGTTGCAAGGGAATGAAGGACCATGAGCCAGGTTCTAGGAAATTATCTGGAGGCCAATAGATGACAGTAATAAGAAAAGACAAAGTTAGAATAACCAGATCAGATTATGAGTTTGGGGGGAGAATGAGAGCAATGGCAGTATTAGGACAGGAGATTGTTGATTCACTTCTCCTGGTCCCTTGGCATGTGAAGATATGAAGGAGCAGGCCCTCTACTTGATGGAGCTCCTATGAAGCAAAATCCTTCTCAAGTCATGTGTCAGTTAAGATGAGGAACACCAGAAGGAATTCTGTGGAAGCCCTGAGGTTGTAGAGTGCCAACTTTGTGTGCAATTAAGTGAGAGTTCTCCAGGGTAGAGGTTCAGAGGAAAGATAGCAGTGAGAAAAGTCAGCTTACAGACAAAGTACTGAGCAAGGTGTGATGGTTCATTGGGCTCATATGTTATGCCAGACCTCTGCTTGGTGTGGACTTGGTGATGTAGTCAGGCACAAGTAAGCCTCAGCCCCTGCTTTTGCAGAAGTAGAAAGGATCTAAATTGGGCCTCCAGAAGATGAAAGAGGGGCACAGAAAGAAATGACTGGCCTCAAGTTTTCTAAAGTGTAGAACAATAGGTTTCCTTTAGCTGAGACTGAAACAAAACTTTAAAAATCTTTATTGAGTGGGAAAAGGAAGGGACAGACTGAGATAATGGAAAAAATATATATCGTGGTCTCTGCCCCACCACACCTCTGGTTCCTGGCACAGAGCTCGTAAAACCCTCGTAATTTCCTAAAAGAGCACTAGCAGCATCTTTTGTTCAAATATTTGGTCTTTGCTACGGCCATGCCACCCTGAACAAGTCCAATACCATCTGATCTCGGAAGCTAAGCAGGGTTAGGCCTGGTTAGTACTTGGATGGGAGACTATCAAGGAAGACCAGGTGCCGAAGGCATAAAATTTTTTAAAAAAAGGAATTGTAAGCTGACAAGGTCCTTGCAATCTGTGAGATCAACCTAGGGTTGCCTCGCCTAAAAAATAAATAAAAATAAAATAGAGTAAAATATTTGATCTTTGACACTGCGTCCCGATACAGAATTCCTAAATCCCTTGAAATTTCCTGGGTTAAAGCAATATCTTTTGTTCTGATGAGGTAGGCTCCTGAATGAGGACTAGTTAACAGAAAGACCAAGCCGGGATTAGAAGCTTGAAATTTTCAGCCCCATTCTTTATCCTCTAAGAAGAGAAGAAGAACTGAAAATTGATCCATCGTGCCTAAATTATAAAACCTCTATAAAAATCCCAAAGGTATGGGGTTCATGGAGCTTCCGAATTTCTGAACACATGGAGGTGCTGGAGGAGTGGTGCACCTGGAGAGGGCAGGGAAGCTCTTGATCCCTTCCCACATAACTTGCCCTATTCATCCCTTTTATCTGTCTTTTCATATATAAACTGGTATATGGTAAATAAACTGGGGTTTTTTTGAGTTCTGTGAGCTGCTCCAGCAAACTGATTTAACCCATGGAGGGGGTCTTGGGACCCTTCAATTTACAGTTGATTGGTCAGAAACAAAGATAACAACCTGGACTTTCAATTAACATCAAGTATGGAGAGGGGTTGGGCAGGCCTGTGGAATCTAATGCTATCACCAGGTAAATAGTGTCAGAATTTAGTTAAATTATAGGACACTCAGCTGGTGTCACAGAATTGCTTGGTGTGGGGGAAATCCTCACATATCTGGTATCAGAAGTGTTATGAGTGTAGTAATATGAGATTAAAGGAGAAACATAGGAGTAATGTAGGTTTTCTTTACACAGACTTGAAAGCAAAGACTTCAATTTACCCTTGGGTGCTTTACTTTTTAAATATAAAGTCTACCTACACAAATATTTTAAAGCTAAATATTGTATTTTATTTTTCCTCCTACAGTTGTTTGAATCATTATGAAAGTCAGATGATCTAGATTAGTTTTAGGCAGGAAAGAATGGAGCTTAAATGTCCATTAAAAAGAGCTTGTTAACTTGGGCTACAAAACTCAGGCTCACAGTATTGGGGGCAAAATATTTGACTGTAAGTTTCTCTAACTGTATCTTGTTTTCCATTGTATCTCTGGGGTCCAGACCTTATAGGCAATTTATAAATATTTGTGGAATAAGTAATTTAATCTTAGAAAGATTCAGCAAGTGTGGGGTGGGAATAGCATGTGTAGTAGGAAGAAAAAGTTTTAATGTTGAGAAAGAGAGCAATTAAGGACAACTTCATCAAGATGAATGAGTCAATATGAAATGAAATTTCTGGCCCTTTCCAGGTTCAGTTATAGAATAAGAAATAAACGTTCTTTCTCTCTTGCTTTGCACCTTTTTCTACTAACTGCTGCTTCATTTATTACCTAAAATGAATAAAACTGCCCAACTTCGTGAAGGTTACAGATCATCAAATGACTGGGCTGTGTTAACAGTCTGGTCAGTTGGGAATTACTCTCATTTAGTCAAGGCGGTACCAATGATGGTTGGGAACTTTACAGTAGGCTCCAGGATGCTGCAGCTCCCATAAGTGGGGAAGAGAAGATGATAAGTCAAATAAAAGCAGATAGGGATGTTATAGTTGACAAGACCCGAAAGAGGAGGAAATATTTTTACTTTCAATGTACCTCATTTATTAAGACAGATCAATCTAAGTGATAATCTCTTAATTTTCTAACTCTTCTATTTTGTGTTATTGTATATCTCTAACTATAGAGACCATAATAACCATTATCAAAAGGACACATATTTTAAGTTACTTTTCCAAAGCTATTATGTTGTTATTATACAAAGAACAATGGCTCTTTGTTTAAATCAGTGTAGAGGACATATATGTCCATTTTATGGGATCCAAACCATAATTTTTACTGTTTTCATTTACTATAGAGGTTTATATTCATTATAATTTTTTACTTTTATGCCATATTCTTTGTCTCATATGTGGATTTTTTGATGTCAAGGTCTTCTTTGGGGACAAAATTCTCTATTATAACATGTGGGAAAATATAATCTGCTCTGTAATGCTGTACTTAATGTTCAATTTCCAAGGGCAGAATATGGCAAAAGATGCCTGGATAATTTAAATCAAAAGAAAAGAATTAATTGGAACTCGACTTGGATAATTGCTTTAGTTCTTCTACCTGAAAAAATATTACAATTGCATACTATTTTTAAATTATTTTCCAGTGTTTAGCCTTAGATAAAATGTAGGAGGCTGACAATCTTTAGCGTGATTTAAATGCTTGAAGTTATGGCTCTCAAATTTAATATGTATAAAAGTGACCTGGGAAACTTGTAAAAATTATAAATTTCTAAGCCAGAGATTTCAAGTCGAGTTCTAGGATGTGACCAGGGGAAATGCATTTAATAAACAGCCCAGCCTATTCTGACACAGGTGGTCTTTGTCCACATAATAAAAAAACTCTGGTTTAAAAGAATGTGAATGCTGTACTTACATAGCCTATGAACCATAAGCAGAAAGCAGGAGAGATCCATTCTCTGGCATGGATTCCACAGTCAATCCACACAGCATTTTTGGCTGATTGCTCCTTTCTAGAAACCTACCCAAAGAAAACCAAAAACAATAACGAGAAGCCTCAGGATAATAACTTACATTTATTTAGTGCTTATATCTAATTCTTTTAACAAATCTCTGAAATGTGCATTAGTCTCTGCATTTCTTTCAGAATTCTCAAGGGAAATTAAAAGCTGGTGAGATTAAAGGTGAAGAGATGAAATTACTAGCCAACTTTCACATAACTGGTGAGAGTCAGAATTAAGGCTTAAAGCCAGGACTCTTAATTTAAAGCTCTTTTTATTCTTCCATATTTAACTAGTCATACCTGTGCTGCATGTAGAAATGTAGAAGTAGAGACCAGAGAACTAGTACTTCAGGCAATTTCTTCACACTTCGTTATAGGTAAATAAGTATGTGTTGGGTGGGCAACTTTCTGCAGGAGGTGTGGAACAAGTGGTGCCTGGCTGATTTAATCTATTCAATTTAATAAGAATCTTGAGTCATCTGAATTAGTTACTTTCTGTCTAACTGTGCTGAGTAAACACTCGGTGATTTTCCTGACATTGGAAAGATAGAGGAACCCCAGAGACTCACATTATGCCTTGGTTAAGTAAGAGTGAGACCAAAACATGCAGAAATTATGGCTTTTCAACTTCTATGTCCCAGAAACACAAGTTTCAAAGAATATACACTATATGACTGAAAGAAAATGTCATGGATGGGTATGTCATGATTACATTGATCCAATCTGATAGACCAACTCAGCTACCAAGAGGACCCAATGTTTCATATGTCTTTCTTGAATTTGAACTGCAAGTTCCTGTCAGAACAGATTAAAACCCAGAAATTCTGACTCAAACTCTTATCTTTGGATGACCGAAGAGGCTTTCCTATCACAACTTAGACTATTTTGGGAAGCAATATGCCAATTAAGTGTTACTAAATCAAATGTATTTTTCCAATGATTAAACATTTTTAGAGCTTCTTTTTATTTTTTTTTAAATGTTTTTAGTTGGGGAGAAGTATAAAAAGAAGTACAGAATTAGAAATTAATAGGCAGGAATTAATATGGTTTCATGGCTCCCCCAAATTCCTCCTATGGTCATATTCATTCACCTTTACTAAAGCCAATTTATTCAACTGAAATAAATAACCAAATGGACCATGACTGGGGCAGAAGCTATTATATCAGCCCTATTGCCAAGACTCCAGCATTGCCCTTGTTCCTACCTTTCCTTGGGCTTGGTTGTTCAGCTCCTTATTTGGTTTTAAAACCTGTGTCAATGTCAGTGTTTGTCCAATAATAGATTTCCTCTCTCTTTTTCTCTCTTTTCCTAAGTAAGCCAGTCAGAGGAGGGGGTGGTGGTGGTGGGGATGGTGTAAATAAAACAAGGATTTGAAAAATAATACAGACCACTCCTCTCATTTTATGACAGCAAGCCCTGAAGCTCAGGAAAGTTAAATGGCTTATCTATGCCATATAAACAGAGACAGAGTTGATTCTAAAACCGATGTCCACTGATAGACCAACACTGCATTAGTAATTGAAAAAAGTTTTTAAGGTAAAACCAACCCTAAATAGCTTGGTATTAAAGTCGAGGAACACTTGTAATACAAATATTTCCAGAACTTAAAGAAAAAAATCCAAGTTATAACAAGTGCCACCAGAGAATTACATCCCCCAAAATTGAAAGATCAATGACTCTCCCCACAACATACCTTTAAAACATAAAGTGGACGCTTCTCATATGAGGATCCAATGTGAATTTTTTCAACCATATCAGGATACCGCTCAGTAATAACTTCAATCCAAGAATAGATCTATCAAAATGGAAAAAAGCAGTCAGTCACAGAGCAATTTCAAAGCATTTCCCTGACCAAAGGAAACAGACAACATCTTCGAGGGAAGGAGAGCTCTCTAAAACCTCTGTATGTAGAAAGAATGAAGAACTAAAACACTTGAGGCAGAATGGTCCTTCTGCTGTTTAGGAAAAATCAATAAAATTAAGTTTTGAAAAGTATTAAGGTTTAGAGAAAGAGTAGAAAAGTACTGAGAACCTTATGACAAAGCAGGAAAAGTTCATCTTTAAAATATGTCTCCTAAGAGTTATTTTTTATAGCCTCATCAAATCAAATCCCTGCCTCTATGTATGAAATTCTCTTTGCCATTGATTCAAGAGTTCACTTTTATACGAGACTTTTTTTTTTTTAATTCAATTTTCAAGAGTAACCTAAGGAAGCCCTGGGTACTACCTTTGCACAGGGTAAATGGCAGTGCCATTATTTTCCACTAAAGACCTGTGCATGCACAATAAGGTCTGAGAAATTATGAGAGGCAAAAGTGAATACAATCTGGAGAAAAAAATTCTCTTCTACTTTGAGAAGAAATTTGATTCCAGACCTCTTTCCTGGGTGGAAGTCTAGTGGTATTGGTGATTCTGTCAAGATTACACTGGAAGGACAAATTAAAAAATCCAGGCCTGACTATAAGCTAGCATCTACTTCAAAGCTGGTGTTGAAAGATGTAACTTACTCATGTTTCAATGTAGACCAACTTCTCAGGGGCCACAATTAAACTTTTATACTTTCTGAAATGGGAATAACCAACACTTGGCCTTACTTCTAGAAACTTTTCTAGAGGTAATTTCAAATAGCAATCCTAGCTGACGGAAACTGTGTTTCCAATTCTTTCCTGGGAATAGGGTAAGAAAAAAATAACTTTTTAAAACAAAAATTAAAATATATTTTTAAAAATATTAAAAATACTTGTTTAAGTAATTCCCCTCTTCCCACCAAACTCAACACAGCACTGACATATTTATCTTCTCCATTCCTACCTCACCTCTCAATTCTGGACATCAGGTTTGCTTATGCAGGGCTGATAATGGATGCTGGAAGGAGATAGTCTATGTGGAATAGATAGAGACAAGGTATGAGAGATAAAAGAGGGAGATGGCATTTTGAGAATCCCATCAATCAACCAGACAAATTGATTCTAGAAGCAGACTGAGTTCTGGTTTAATTAACTAGAAAGGAATGGAGGTTTTTGAAAATTAAAATAGAAAATTGATTTTTATTAGTTAAGTCTTAAAAACATAGATATGATTCTTAATAGTTTCTGGGCACCTAGCCAAAGATGATAAAATATAGCAGTGTACTCCTATGAAAGAATAAAAGATACCAAGGAATTCTTATTCCTTTGAGTATACTATGTAAACAAGAAAATCCTCCAAGGAGTCTATCCTTTCAACTAATAAATATGGGGAAATAGCTCTTACGATATTATATGAAAACTTAGTGAGGTAAACTGAACATTGACATCTTTAGGTTCTTTCTAGGAAAACTAGAACTTTAAGAAGTACTGATAGAAAAAAATCAATTTTTTAAAGATTAAAACACATTTTTCTTCTCATTATTATTGTTATTGTTATTATTATTATTAGTTTAATAGTTTCCTCCTAAGGGGAATAAAATGGATTTATTTATAGTATACTAAATATAAGTGAATAAATTTTTTTAATTCAGTGAGATAATGTGGCAATTATTCAGCAAGAGTATAATTAGGGTTATATTCCAAAGAGACATGATTAATTGGACCGTTAATTTTTGTGTGTGTCAGTTTCAATAAAAAGGCCCTATTGTTATTTCCTGCTGTTCCTCGGCAGGTAGTGTTACTCCTAGCAATTAGAGATACTCTTAGCTGTGGACAAACAGCCTGCTTAGAGGCAGTGTACCAAATAAAACGCCATCTACAAAAGGATGGATTACCACCATACGATCAACCTAATTGTGATTTTTTTTTTTTACCCTCTTCCACAAATTATGATACTTTAATAATTTCCCATGGAAATGCTGGTTAAATGAAAATAGTAATTTTGGAGAGAAATGGAATGGCTTACTTCATTTAGTGAGTGATAATTTTCATAGTATGAGGAGGAGGCCCGGGGGATGACTGTGTCATTGGAAGTCTGCTGTCGTATAAGATCTTCCACATCTTCCATCAAGACACTAGGTGATGAAACAGAGGGCAAACTTGTTTCCAAAACAGCCTCGATTTTCCCATGTGGCCCATTGTAGTCACAACAGGTGAGCATGGGGGTAAAATCATTAAGAAATCTAATAAGCAGAAGATCATCAGGTGAAAACACCACCTAACATTGTGGTAAGCTGAAATTCACAAACCCACATGGGAACTGGACAGAAAGTGACTCCTATATGGTATATTTTCAGGGCCTCCAATATCTCACCCTTTCCTCACTGTTATTAACATTTCTTGGTTGTGCTTCATCAGTGTCTTTTCTGTGAACATGTGGGTTAGTGAACAACTTTCTTCAATTCAGAGTAACATAGTATTATTTTCTTTTCAGTTAAGAGCCAAAGAGATGCAAAATGCCTTTTCTTTTTGTTTTCCATTGTGACAACTGTTGACCTATATCAGAAGTTCTACATACCCAAAGATGATCATATCTCTAGAAAAATAGAAGGAAAAGGGAAATTACAGGAAGGTCATCAGTAAGATGACTCTTGAGAAGTGCCACACAGTTAACTAGGCAAAAACTGAATTAAGCCATTTAATTACCCAGAATAAACAATTTGAAAATAAGCTACCATTTTAGTAAAGGTTTCTTTACTTTTATTTAGGCCAACAGATAAGAGCCAAGGCTTTGACATCAGGAAGATCTGAGTTCAACTCCTACTTCTACCATGTTCTAGCTGGTTGACTTTGAGAAATTCATTTGTAAGTTTGAAAAACTTTTTCATCTGTACAATGAGGAGAGTATTTACCTCACAGGGTTAAATAAGGAGTAAATGATACAATGTATAGAAAGGTTCGGCATAGTTCTTAGAAGGCGGTAAACACCTATAACATTATTAATTATCATAGCGTATTCTTCAAAGGTCACCCATGATACACAGAAGAGAGCCTAGCCTTCAGGAAGTGCTAGAGCAGCTGGAAGACATTGACATGTGGGCAATGGATACAGAGAGGAGATGTCGGACAGCAGACTCCAAAAGTAGGAGACCACGAACTCTGAGCAGAAATCCTAGACTTTTTAGTCTAGGACCAGACATTCCGGAATGCTCACTGACCTGATGAAGGAAGCAAAATCCTATTCACCAGCTTGCTTTTTTGAGAGATACCACAAAGTCTACTAAAGTGAATGACAATTTTGCTCCCCAAGTCTGGCTACAGAGTGGAGGAACTATAAGAAAGAAGGAATTAGGAGGAATTTAAGAGGCTCCATGGATCATTGAGTCTAAATCATTTTGAGACAAGGGAATGCGGTCGTGGGAAGTTAAACCATTTGCTCAAGCTCACAGAGTTAGCCACTTGGGTTTCATCTCCAGTCCATTTTGGAGATTTTCTTATTGTCATGTTTAATGTAAGTGTTTATTTTTCCAGGAAGCAATTATATCATCTGCTAGTCAAACGCATCAAAGGTGTTTATAATAGCAATTTAATAAATATTCAATGATGCCTACCTGAATGGAATTCTGCTTTCATTTAAATGGGCTTTCACATTGCTTAATTCAGATGCATTCACAAAAAAATGGACTTCTTTTTTCTTTGCAATAAATTCAGCTGTTACTGGCTGCCAGAGGACAATCTGCAGTTTCAAGGGAGGAAATTGATAAAATAAAAACGGTTTTTCATATCATTCTTATCTGCAGCTAAAGCCATTAAATGTGTATATAAGAAAAATGAAAAAGATATTTCCTGGCCACTGGTCCTCATTCACACAAGTGGCATTATAAACATTTCTTTTTCAGGGAATTTGTTTTATTCTTCTCTGTAACCCCAGTTGCTAACAAGGACATGGAACATGCTAGGTATTCAATAAATGTTTGACGAGACAATGAATGTATGAGTGAATGAATGAATATATTTATGGCTCAACTGTAAAACTGGATGTATATGTCAGATGTTTAGGAGGGAAATAAAATTTTGTCCAGAAAGTTAAATGCTAATTTCTAAATAAATTAAATGCTAATTTTCTTTACTAAAAATTTCATATCTTTAACATTACTATTGTGTCAGTGTTCCTATTCTTTAATCTAATTATGGACTTTGGGCAATGCCTTCAAAAATTATTTATATATATTTTTCTATATTACTGTACTTTATCAAGGCACTTTCACACTCATTTACTTTGATCATTATAATAACACTTTGATATAGACTGGACAACTGTTATTATTTTTATTGTTTGGATGAAGAAATTAAAGTTAATAGCTAACTTGTCTAAAATCACACACCTAGGAAGTGGTAGACCAAGAACTAAATTCTAAATCTCCGATGCTTCCTCTGGTGGTATTTCCTCTTTCCATGGTGTGGTGGCTATGAAAATTCGCTACTTAGCCATTCTGTTGGGAAAAGCATGGTTGACTAATCTTCTCACTTGTTCCGCATCTTGATCCACCTGGCTGAAGCCATGCTACTCCAGGGCTGTAGCCACACAGTGATTGAGCACTGTGGGAGAATAAATACAAATCC